CCCCTCAAGAAGAGGGCTTCCCGTGCTGAGGTAGGGGGATCCCACCTGCTCTCCTCCTCTTCCTCTGGATTCCTCCTGTCCTTCAATCTTGGAGCACCTCTAAGAGTGCCTTTCAGATCTCTTAACCCTGGCACTCCTTTCTCCTTGCCAAGATGAAACAGGGAAGCTGTGGGCCCCCCATGGCTGGCCTGTTCCTCTGGTTGCCATGACAGCCCCAACTCTGCCCAGGTCTTTCCAGCAAAGGAAGTAAAAAAAAATGGACTAGTTGCTCCCTGAACCTTGGTGTGGTATCATCACTGCAGAATTTATATGTGTGAGAAGGTCCAGGACACACAACCCCATGTCCCTGATACTGTATATATATATGGGTGCAAAAATGAGCCCCACCCCACCAGGCCCTTAAAGATTAAAAGAAAGATTGGCAAGATTTTGGCAATTCCTGCAGATAGGTATGAAAAATAAGGTCATAGAATAATGGAATTGGAAGGGGCCTCTTAGGTCATCGAGTCCAACTCTCTGCTCAATGCAGGAATACAAATTAAAGCAGCTCTGACAGATGGTGGTCCAATTTTCTCTTGAACGCTTCCAGCAAAACAAAACAAGATGGCAGATCTGCAGGTCACTAGGAACAGGCCTGTCACAGAGATAATTCTAGGGGTTGTTTCCTAGGTGCAATCAGATGGCGGGAAAGGTACACTTCAAGGCAGACCTGGGCAAAGTGCGGCCCTCCAGATGTTCCTGAACTGCAAATCCCAACATTCCTCGCCGTGTGGGCTAGGCCCAACTCTCCTCACACTATTGGCCGTGTGGGCTAGGAATTATGGGGGTTGCAGTTCAGCAACATCTGGAGGGCCGCATTTTGCCCACCTCTGCTTTAAGGGGAATAATATCTCTTAAAGTGACCCTTCTGTTTGTCGGGGAATGGTTCCAGCCTGGCCCACACAAAGGAGCAAAACCTGACAAGCCCTTCACAGCATGGACCGGGGTCCCTGTATGTCATGGAACGGCCATCTCTCAATGGCTACCAGCCACAATCAGCTGATGCTCCCTCCAAGATCCAAATCAGCCTGTCTTTCAACATTAGTTGCTCAAAGTAATAGTAGGGAGAGATACAACGTCCTGCTTGTACACTTCCCATGATGCTCTTTTTCGGCCACGGAGGGAAACAGGATGTTGGTCTAGATCAGTAGTTTCCCAACCTCGGTTCCCCAGAGGTTCTTGGACAATAACTTTCAGAAATCCTGGCCGACACAGAAAGTGGCAAAGGCCTCTGGGAGTTGTAGTCCAAGAACCTCTGGGGATCCGAGGTTGGGAACCATTGGATAGACTTTGGGGTCTTCTTATGTGAAAAGAGCAAGAGGCAACCTTACCGAGAAAAGCCAGATTCTCGCAGTTTTCTCCCATGACTTCCTTGTGCAGAGCCTTCTGGTCTTGATCCAGCAGCGCCCATTCCTCCGTTGTGAAATGCACAGACACATCCTCAAAGGACACGAGACCCTGCAAGAAGACACCGCCATCCAAGCCGTTTTTGTTTGGTGTGTGGAAACAGCTGCTCCTTCGTTCATTGTATCTCTGCCCCTAAAACACTTAAGCGCTCAAGACACTTTCCAAGAAAAAAAGGGAGCTGTAACTGAATCAGCGATAAGCAGGATCATGTTAACAAACTGGCACAGAGCAAGTAATCTGATCCCAGGTCTCCTAGAGGCCTTGTCTCCTTCTATGAGGTAGAAGACTGGATCCTTGCAAGGCACCACAAAATGGCTGCCTGGATGCAGATGCTGAGTGATCAGTACTAAGTGGGGCCATGCTAATGCCACATTTTACTGTAAGCATACTATATATTAAATTGCTGAATTAAAAAAACTGCTTAAAATAAATTAAAATACTATTAAAAAAAAACACACGTATCTCCCCCACTTAAACACCTTCCTTTGCAACAGACAGGAAACAAATCAAAACTTAAAAATAAAACAAAACTTAGAAGACAAAAAACGTTGTGGCACCTTAAACTCACATTAAAATGCAGCCAGTCTTTAAAGTGCCACTACATTTGGGGGGGGGGTGTTTTAAGTTTAAGGTGTGTTTCTCATCTGACAGGCTTGCACAGACTAACACAGCCACTATTTTGGAAACTTTCAGAACAGGAAATCTTGACCTGCCGACAGAAGGACAGGCAGCAGAGAGCCAGCCAGGCCGTCTGTGGCAAGGAGTCCCACAGCGTGGGAGGAGCCATCAAAAGGATCCTCTCCTGTGTGCTCATGTGCCTGCGAGGGGTGGCAAAGCCCTCGCAGGAAGGGTTCCCCAAAGCCCTTAAAACTAAGGCAGGATCATATGGGTTGATGGGGGTCCTTCACAAAACCTGGCCCAGAGCTACTTAGAGTGGGTGTGCCTCTGGATGAAGGGTTTATATGAACACACAAGAGAGATTGCCACATTGCTCGGTGCTTCTGCTCCACTTTGGTACGGAGCCATGTGCTTAAACTAAATGACAAGGTCTGTTAGCTAAGTGACTGGCAACCCTCCATCGCTAAAGATAGAGATGATCATTGATTTTATTTCAAATGGAATCAGATACCATCAGACTTCAATACAGTCCTGATTCTTAAGCTCTTGGGATTACAGTCTAACTACAGAGCCTATACAGTAGCTTCAACATCTGCCCAGGATGGTTTTTATTTACTCGGCTATTTACTCGACATGGTGGCACTGCGGGCTAAACCGCAGAAGCCTTCGTGTGCTGCAGGGTCAGAAGACCAAGCAGTCGTAAGATCGAATCCACGCGACGGAGTGAGCGCCCGTCACTTGTCCCAGTTCCCGCCAACCTAGCAGATCGAAAGCATGCAAATGCAAGTAGATAAACAGGGACCACCTCGGTGGGAAGGTAACAGCGTCCCGTGTCTAAGGCGCACTGGCCATGTGACCACGGAAGACTGTCTTCGGACAAAACGCTGGCTCTATGGCTTGGAAACGGGGATGAGCACCGCCCCCTAGAGTCGAACACGACTGGACAAAAATTGTCAAGGGGAACCTTTACCTTTACCTTTACCTTCTACAACCACAGAAATCTGTACTCTCTGGCCTAAAGAACAGTCCTGGGTGACTTGAAAGCTCGCCTTTTCTGGGATGTTTATATCTTTTATTTCTTTAAAATATTTTTTTTGCCCTGCCTTTCTCCTTAAAAAGGCGATTTACATGATCGAAGCACACTATATAATGCAAAGAGAGAGAGGGAGGGAGGGAGTAAGTGTACAAATGCTAAAGAAGGAGCAAACAGATCCTATGTTGAAAGACAGAAAACAAAAACACATCCAAAGAAATAAGGCACAACCATCCATTAAAAAACCCCACTCAGTTGTCCAGTCACTGAGGGAAAGCCTGCCTGAAGAGAAAGGTCTTGGTCTCTTTGCAGAAGGATAGCAAAGATGGGGCCAGGCTGGCCTCCAGTGGGAGGGAGTTCCAAAGTCTGGGAGCAGCCACAGAGCTGCTGGCGGTGCCATGAACTTTATTTGCCACCCGGGACTTTGACGAAGCATTCAAAGGGACGGGAGCTGGGCTGAGGTTCTCTAAGAAGATTCAATGTTTTTCAGCAGGTGTTCCACCCATTCTTACTGGGCAGTTTTCAACAGAAGGAAAAAGAAGTCTGGAGGGAGAGACAAAGGAGAGAAAGACAACCCGTTGATCCCCTCAAACCTGCTTTGCCGTTTTCCCTTCAGTACCTGTTCTGGCTTAACAAAAGCTGCTTCCTTTATGCCACAAAGAGAAAGGGACCGAGGAGGCGCTGAGGGCGTCATTTCGTTATTTCTGAATGTCCTTCCATTCCCTGTGAGGAGGAAACAAAGAAAGCAGAAAGAGATGTGAGGTGCTATTTGTAGCAGCTCAGTGCCTTATCTTAATCTTTCCCCACCTCACTTTCTGGCGTAATTCAAGATCACTAAACTGGGAATTATATCATTAATCATAAATTAGTTATGTGCTGAACAGACTTAGAATGGCCCTAAGAAGGCTTTCGAGGTAAGTGAGATATCTACGGAGTGGTTTCACCAGTTCCGCTCCCCCCAGGGAGTATCCAGGGCTGAGAGGGGCTCTGAACACTGAGGCCTCCAGAGGCCTCGTCCATGATGACTCCATCCATTACACTTTGCTGGATATAATTAATTAATTGCATTTATCTACTGCCCCTCTAGTGTCACGCCATTGCTCTGGGTGGTTTACAAAACCATAAAACTGGAATAAATTTTATGTAGAATGGAATGTATGGAATAAATTGTGTAAAATATAAATTTTACATGCGTTTTTGTTCAGTCGTTTAGTCGTGTCCGACTCTTCGTGACCCCATGGACCAGAGCACGCCAGGCCCTCCTATCTTCCACCGCCTCCTGGAGTTGTGTCAAATTCATGTTGGCTGCTTCGATGACACTGTCCAACCATCTCATCCTCGGTCGTCCCCTTCTCCTCTTGCCTTCACACTTTCCCAACATCAAAGTCTTTTCCAAGGAGTCTTCTCTTCTCATGAGATGGCAAAAGTATTGGAGCCTCCGCTTTAGGATCTGTCCTTCCAGTGAGCACTCGGGGTTGATTTCCTATAGAATTGATAGATTTGTTCTCCTTGCAGTCCAGGGGACTCTCAAGAGCCTCCTCCAGCACCACAATTCAAAGGCATCAATTCTTCGGCGGTCAGCTTTCTTTATGGTCCAGCTCTCACTTCCATACAACACTACAGGAAAAAACATAGCTTTGACTATT